AGAAGAAGAGAAGAGAAGGAGAATGGGTTTGGTTTGAGAAGAAGAAAAGTCACTCTCTCTCAGCCGACCGACCCACTTTATATTTATACTCTTTGTATTAGATTATGAAAGATGGATTTGTCCCTCATTAAGTATGGGACACACAACTTAAACCTAGACAAAATAGACAACTCAACCTTAATTAGATAGACAAAAGACTTAACTACCCTTCTAGTGTCGATTCCAACACCCCACAAGCCTTTGAAACACTCCCCTATTGGCTAATAACTCCTCTTCTGTGATAGATAACTTACGATTTGCATCAATAGGTGTTGGAGCAGGTTTGGCACCAAGTTTACCTATCTCAGTTAATAAATCCAGCACATATTTTCTTTGCCAAATAAAGATCCCATCATTCGACCTTGCCACTTCAATACCCAAGAAATAGCGTAGTGCACCAAGGTCCTTAATTTCAAATTCAGTATTGAGGAAATGCCCAAGTTTCCCAATCTCCTCCACATCATCTCTAGTAACAACAATATCATCATCATGAACAATGAAGATAGTAACTAAAGCATCTCTCCTCTTCACAAAGAAGGTGTGATTAGATTGGGTCTGAACATACCCAACCCCAACAAGAGCATTATGAAACGTCTCAAACCAAGCTTGTGGAGATTGAGCCCATAGAGAGATTTCCTCAGTCGATAAACCTTCCCTGCTAACACCTTACCATACATGTCAGGAGGGAGAGACATATACACCTCTTCATGAAAGTCACCATTTAGAAATGTATTTTTCACATCAAATTGATATAAAGGGCAAGACAAAGAAGCTGCTAAAGATGAGAGAACTCAAATAGAATTCATTTTGGCAACGAGAGCAAAGGCTTCTAGGTAATCAACCTTCAACCCCATAGTCTTGAGTATAACCCTTAGCAACTAGCCTTGCTTTATACCTCTTAATTGATCCATCAACATGGTATTTAATAGTGCATACCCACTTACAACCTATTGGCTCTTTCCCTTTAGGCAAATCAACAACCTCCCATGTGTTATTCTTACAAAGTGCTTCCACTTTGGCTCTTATTGCATCCCTCCATTCTGGTTTGGATAATGCTTTCAACACATTTTTGGGTATGGATGAGAAGAAACAAAGGCTAAAAAGGAACAATAAGAGGGAGATAACAAGCCATAAGAAAGGTGGTTAGAAATGGGAAGGTTAATGTCTGGTATAGTGGGTGAATGCAAGTTAGGAAGTGTTGGATCCGTTGCCTCGGCTATGATGGGATCATGAGAGGTCCAAGAGGTTCTTTTCGGTGGTGGGAGAACAACCTATCCATGCGTTTACCAAAGATAAACCGTCATTGGCTGGGCCTGGGGGGTAGACAAAGGAAGACTAGTAGGGGAGAAGAAGGAACATTAGAGGAACATGAACTAGAGAAGGAGGTACTGTAGAACTAGGAATAATTAGTGACTCACCAAAAATGTCACTAGGGATGGGAGCTGGAAGTGGAATATCAAAAAAAGGGGACTCTCCTCTTGAGAAGGAACTAGATAAAAAGATGACTCATCAAATGTGACATCCATGGAAACAAACCGGGTGCCACTAAGAGGATCATAACGGTGGTAAACCTTCTGTGTGGAGGCATACCCAAGAAAGATAAATTTCCTGGCCTTAGGTTCATGTTTGTGTCTTTGTGAAGTAGGAATATGTACATAGCAAGTACAATCAAACACTTTGAGAGGGATAGAGAATATATCCTCATTAGGGAAAAGAAGACTAGAAGGAAAATTGTACCCAAGGACCTGTAAAGGCAAATGATTAATCAAATAAGTTGTTGTAAGAGCAACATCTCCCCAATATTTTATAGGAAAGTGAAAGGCAAGCAAAACGCTTTTGGCAATTTCAACAACATGTTGATTTTTTCTTTTTAGCTACCCCATTTTGTTGAGGGCTGCGAGGACAAGAGCTTTGATGAATAACTCCAAAGTCAGCAAGATAGGTAGAGAAATCCTTTTCAAAGTACTCCTTAGAATTATCAGATTGGAATATTTTGATACGGGTTTTAAATTGAGTGAGAAGAAGTTCATGAAATTGTTTTATTAACTTTGGGACCTCATCATGTGAACACATCAAATAAATCCATGTATATCTGGAAAAATCATCAATGAACAAAATGAAGTATTTATAAGCCCCCATAGAAGGTATATGGTATGGGCCCCACAACTCAGAGTGCATAATATCAAAAGGAAATTTGGATCTTTTATTACTTAAGGGATAAGAATTTCTAGAATGTTTTGACAATTGACATGACTCAATGCAGACTAGAAAGACCAACACTTTTAAACAACTACGGAAATAAATGGCACAAAGAAGAAAAGGACAAATGATCCAAACAAAAATGACATAACATAATTTTATGAAAAGACTCAAGCATAGTTGACTCGAAAGCCACCCTTTGTGATGATAACTGGTTCTTTTCAGGCACGTCAAGCAGGTATATCCTGTTCGCCTCATGGCCAATGGCCACTTCTAATCACCTTCTGAGACTTTAGGTCATTGAAAACACAACGTGGGGAAAGAAGGTTATATTAATAATTCAATGGTTTAGTCAAACTACTAACAAAAAGAAGGTAGGTATTAAGTTTACGTACATGGAGGACAGAAGGTAGGGTAAGGGTCTTGGTGGCTCAAATGTCTCTATTTCCAGAAATAGGAGCAAGAGAGCCATCGACAAGGGAAATCTTATCCCAGCCAGGTAAAAGCTGATAGGAACAGAAAAGGTTAGGTATACCCCTGATTATTTCTTCAAAGTAGCAAGATTTGGAAAACGGAAGTGTCCATATGTGTATTAGATCTTATCATAATAAACAGGGGCATTTTTGTCTTTTAAGGGGGATTCACTAAGTTTATGGAAGATGGGATGTGGCCAAAACAGTGACCTTGTTTACTTGTCCCATATGGGAATTGGGATCTGCTCTTCACAGAGCGTTCCTCACATTGACCTCACAGCCACATCCCACTGTTTATGGGGAACATCTCCCATGAGTAATAATATAGGAGCATAGTTGTCAAGGTGATGCCTAGGTGACAAGGCACCCTTGGAGGCTCGCCTTACCCAGTCGCCAAGCAGTTTTGCATACTGTGTAATAGAATACTTTTATATTGTTATTTTTTTGAGATTACAATTATAAAATAGACATTATTAAAGAAAAATATTCATTTTTTGTGTTTATAAACTAATTTCTTTTTATTATTTTCTTATTTGTTAGGGTTTAATCAACACAAACATTGCTAACTGCTGTATCGAACCCTAAATGACTTCAAAATCTGAACCAATAAGTAAGGGAAGAACTTAAAATTTTGTCTAATCAACACATTTCTTCTTCCACATCATCATCATCATCATCATCGTCTTCTTCTTCTTCTTCTTCTTCTTCTTCTCCTTCTTCTTCCACCTTTTCTTATAACAGAAATAGGGTTCAGCCCCTATATTTTTTGACTTTTCTTTCCTTTCTTCTTTTTCTTCTCATAAATATGTTGGTTTTCTAGACTTAAACATGAAGTTTATAATTTTCTTATGAAAATTATGGATAGCTATTAAAGAAAGTTGGTTATGGAACCTAGGGAACTACCCTAGCATTTGTGATTTTTACTTTAAAAAATCCATGCCTAGGCGACAAGGCGCCCCCTATCGCCCAGCCTTGCCTTGGCGCCTTGAAAACTATGTATAGGAGTACAGGAGATGTTCCTGATGTGCGGCTGGTACATGCTGTGAGGTCAGTATGAGGGAGCGCTCTGTGAGGAGCAGATCCAGACTCACCATATGGTCCATTACCCTGTTAAACCTGGTTGATTATTCATATATTATAGACATGTCATTAAATATCTATGAATTATGGCATCCTTTTTCCTTCTTTGCATGCGTAGTTGTTTCCATTTTCACATGTTAATTGTAAAGTTTCAGTTGTTTGATCAGAAACTCATTGTTTTATTAACTTTATATAGAGTTTCTGTCATACTGTATGATCTTTCTGTAGTTATGGGGGATCGGTGTTTTAAAAGCGCAAAGCGCAGGGGTCAATTTGCACATGAGGTGCAAGGCGAGGTGCGCGCCTTTTTAAGTAAGGCACAAAAAATAAAAAAAGCGAGAAAATCAAAAAATTATTAAACATAATATTAATAAAATATAAACTTAAATTTTAAAATAAATTTTTTAAAAAACCTATTATGTAAAATTAAAATACATAAATATAACATGTAAAGCATATTCAAATGATAATTTAAAAATAAAATCAAACATATAAAATCCACAATCTCTTTTTTTCACAATTGCATTACTTCGAGTAGCTAGTATGATGTAAAACATATTCCATTCCTGATTCTACGATCCGCCTTTGTGCCACGCCCCTCGAGGCAAACTCAAACAAGTCCACGTTATGTCTTAAATTCTTAGTTCTCACACAAAAAAATAGTGATTTTATAGTTTTAATTGCTTTTTAAGAAGATACTTTATTAGGATGAATGAATGAACAACATTACCAAAAGGCGCACGCCTGGTAATGAATGAACAACATTACCATCCGCTGGACACAAAAAAAAGCAAAAAAGTGTCAAATTTTCAAAAGGCGCATGCCTGGACTGAGGCGCAAGGCGCACACCTAGGACCTGGGCGAGGCGCCTACCCTAAAATGCGCCTTGCCTGTGCGCGTAGGTGTGCCTTTTAAATCACTGTGGGGGATACACTTCTCTAAAGGGAGATAATTTTAAGTCTTTTCCTGCCTTCTTAAGTGGATGATCATTTTTCTTATTGATTAAATGGATTATCATGTTGTCTGAAAGATATGTTCTCAGCGAGCTAATCCATTAATTAATACCACATACTGATCTCTGGATCACTCCTAAATTCTATCATTGAAAGCTTCTCTTCCGTAATTTTTGAATTGGCTGTTATTTGGCTGCTCTGAGTCTCAGACATTATTTTTTGCTAGCAATGTTAATCAATTGTTCAATGATCATAGGTCTGGCGTGAGACACACCAATGTTTTATTGCAGAGAGCAGTTTTCCGGACATTCAGTATCAACTTTTTCACCTACGGTTTCCCGGTAGGCGTTCTATACTAATTGGAAACTGAGCTTTTATCCTGAACATTTTACTAATTTTAATATGGTGAGACTAGCAGAACCATCTTATCAGTCAAAATATGAAAAAAAGGAAATGCTAGCATGGCCATCTTATTAGATTGTTTATGAATTTTCGTTGTTTAGGGGTTGGCGTGTTGGATTATTGGAGTCAGGGAAGAAGTGCTCTTTTGCTGTTTTGTACAGTGAGGGGGATGTTTTCTGCCAATGGCTGGGCTGTTTCCATCTTTGTATCTGGCATGGTGGTGGTGGGGGTCCTTTTTGCTGGCTGGGGAAGGGGTAGGTATAGGTTGGTGGATATATGCTTATTTCTGGTTCTTTTTTTTTGATAAGCAACAAAGGGAGAAAGTTCATTGAAATCAAGGAGCACACAGAGGTGCAGCCAAAGAAGCGTACAAAGCTGGGCCTCCTAAGAGGCCATCCACATCTGACAACAGAGAAAAAGAAACACAATAAAGCAGAAACAGAACTGATTAGAAATTACACATTAGTAGCTGGTCCTGGGCATCCCCGATCTAAGTGAGATTTCCCAACCCCAGCCTTAGCTACAGAGTCTGCCAAAAATATTGGCTGCTTTTCATTTTCCATGGGCCTTATGGCTGCTTCTTGTATCTTCCTCTATGATATGTGATGAACTCTTTTGTTGCTGATGCATACACATTAGAAACTAGCAAAATGGAAGCTGCAACTCAGAATCCTTTATCTGAAGCTTTGTAGAAATCATTCTGAAACTTATGAAAAAGATTTTTTGGTCTTTTTTCATGATTGTGTTTGTATTTCTTTCTTTCTTTCTTTTTGTGTGTTTTATATGCGGATTTGTATGTGGAAGGGGCAAATTATATGCTTCTATTTCCTGTTTGTTCTTCCCCTCAGGCAGAGATGTCATTTTGTCTATAGTATGTTCAGGGATATCATTTATTCTTATCTGTGATTTCAGAGTTTAATTTATATTAGAATTTTAGCTGGATCATTTATGTTTTAGCTTATGTGTAAGACTTTTCAGTGGTAAATGTGACAGGTTTCCCTATTTGCTCTTTCATTTTGGAGTTTCAATTTTGCAAGTGTATGTGCATTTGGATTACTTGCCTATGTTGGCTACATTCTATATGCCTTCCCTTCCTTGTTCCACCTGCACCGGTTAAATGGTTTGCTTCTTGTTTTCATTCTGTTGTGGGCTGCTAGCACATATATCTTCAATGTGGCGTTCACACTCCTGAACAAGAAACTGCGGAAAGTAATTATCTATTCATTCAGGTGTGTGTTTTCTTTTTAAATTGATAGGTGAAATCTAAGAAGTTAATGGAATCATTCTACAATGTACTTGTAGGACATGAAGATTTGGGAAACCATTGGCTTGTGGCATTACCCCATTCCTGGATTCTTTCTACTAGCACAGTTTTGTCTTGGAATTCTTGTTGCCTTGGGTAATCTTGTAAATAACTCTGTTTTTCTGTACTTGTCTGATGAATATGGGCTATCCTCAAGTGATGATTCTACTGTTGAAGGTGAGTAGATTGCAGGTTTTAAGTTTCAATATTTGTAGTGCCATTTGTACTCTTATTTTTTTTTCATGTTTTTATTTGATAGAAGCTTTCCTTGTTATTTTATATATGTATTTTGTGTAGTTCATTCTTTTTTTTTTTCTGATGAATAACTTAATCAATTTTATTAAAGAAATTTCAGAAAGTACAACAGACAGGCAGCCCAGAGATTGAGATGGCCTGATCACAGAAATTGTACATCAAAGGGTACTACCATCCCTCCAAAAAACATTCCCTCTCTCTACCCCCTGTTTGACAATCAATCTGCCAAACCATTTCTGGACCTGTAAACCCAGTGCGCTGAGATCACTCTATTTCTCTGATGCTCTGTCTCCCTCATTAAATTCTTGTACTGCCAAGGACATCTTTCTCCATCTTTGCACCCAGCCCACAACCACTTGGAATCCCTCTGCATTATCACATTGACATAGAACATCCTTTTTGCCAATCTTAACCCCTGTAGTACTGCCAACATTACATAAGAAATTGATAAAGTTGAGCTGAGATATTTTAGGTCTGGATATATGGTTCTTCAAAGTATATGCCGTTGTTGTTGCCCAATCTGCTACTTGATGACTGATCTTTCCGATTCTCTATCTCTGACCTCATGTGACTTCTGCATATGGCTAATATATTTAATATTTTCTGTTTTCATCCACAAGAATGAAATTGTGTTTGAGACTTTCTTTTTCTCTTGCTTTTATGTTTCTTTTTCTAGCTTTTAGATCATCATCATAATCATCGTTGTCATTAGGGCTGTAAATTGATTGGATTTAATCTGATTTAAATTCGAATTTGATTTGTTTGAGTCAGACTTGGATATCCATTTTGCCATAATAGGATCTGAAAGATGTATCTGTTTATGAATCTGATCAAATCTGGATATTGCTTGATTCTGTCTGCTAAGATATATACATACATGTATAAAATACCATTTTTTTAGTATTAAAATTTTGTATAATTAAGTGGGGTTTTTTAAACATAAAAAATGAAATTTTATTAATATAAGAAAAAGTTACAAACAGGAAACCTGATGAGAAGTCACCAACCAAGAACACAAAAAGATAAAGATCCAAGCAGCTGCAAAATATTATCAAATACATCAGTTCTCCCATACAACATTTTGTCAAATGCATCAGTGATATTAAATCAGGGTTTGGGGGTATAGGGCTGCATGGGCAGTATTGTAATTCCCTGTGTGCAGTGCCTTAGTATACATGTTTTTTGCTCTATTTCAATGATATTATACTTTACCTGTTTCAAAAAAAAAAAAAAAAGATTCTATGAACTCCTACAAAGTCAGGAAGGAAGATTAATATCCAATCAATGATTCTTCTTCCAATAAGAGAACATAATTCCTCCATCGAATTTTTCCTTGTCATTGATGATTCTTGTGTTCCTCTCCTTCCAAATCTCCCAGCAGATTGCAAATGGTACGCGTGGCCACACAATTTTTTGCTTTCTTGCTTCCTCCCAGAATCTGCCAGCAAGCAAAAATTTCATTTGGACATCTAGGAGCCCACCTAGCCAGATTTGGATTGGATATCTGGATATCTAAGCAAATCAAATTTGAATCTATGTTTTATGTATCAGATATACCCCAATCTGAGTTCATTATGATCCATTTGCAATCCTACCAGTTGTTGTCATTGTCATCATCATCATCATTATCAACAAGCTTCTCCTTATTCTTAGGCTTCATGTAATTTTGAAGTCACTAACTTAGCTCATCTTCAAATTGCAGAGAAAGAAGAGACGAAAGTACTAATTGTGGCTACAATAGCATGGGGGCTACGTAAAAGCTCCCGTGGTATCACACTAGCACTGATATTTCTTCTTGCCATGAAACCTGGGTTCATCCATGCTATATATAGTAAGTAAAATAAAAAAAAAATTATATATTCATTTTTCATGGGAAGCCTCCAGTTTTCTGATTGTGGTTGTATGACCTTCAATTGGCTTTGAAATTTATGGTATATCAACCTGTTTCAACACAACAAAATGTACTGTATAGAAATTAACTGATTGGTTCCAAATTCATCTCTTTGCTTCAGTGTTTTTCTTTTTGACATATTTGTTAAGTCACACTGTGAGCCGAAAGATACGCCAATCCCTGATTCTTCTATGTGAAGCACATTTTGCATTGCTGTACATCCTTCAACTTAATCTGGTCCATGAGGCTTTGGTGCAAAAAGGCTCTTTGACCATGGAAATTCTGTCACAGTTAGGTAGGTGTTAGTACAGTTGTTATGCTAAAGTTATCTATTGTTTTAGAAAATATGATGTGATTTTTCCTTGTCGACTGGATTTTGTTTCTGCTTTGAAGGTCAACAATTATATAAATGTATTAATTTTTGTTGATTATCTGGCTGTGTTTTGTTTTGTTTATTGATTCCCTCTTTTGTATATGCAGGTCTCCTTGAACATGCTAGTTCCTTGGATTTCCTGGAAATTGCTATGCTTGTATGCTTGTGTGCAGTTCATAATCATGGCTTTGAAATGCTCTTTTCATTCTCGGCCATTGTGCAGCATACTCCCTCCCCTCCACTCGGGTTTAGCATTTTGAAAGCTGGTTTGAACAAATCAGTTCTGCTATCAGTTTATGCCTCTCCAACTGCCAGAGATAGTCAGTCTAACATCTCTTCCCATGGTATAAAATATAAACGCGTCCAGGGTTAACCACAACCTGGAATGGTTTATTCAATATTTTCAATTACTCCTTTAAGAAGTCGAGAGAAATTATTGGACTCTTTTAATTTCCTAAAGATGAAATAAGCAATCTTTTTCCTCCATATATTAATGTATGTATGCATGTGTATATATGTATCTTTGCTCTCTCTTTGTCTCTCTCCAGCCATTCTGTGGTATGCATCTTGAGTGAAGCCTTAAAGGTTGAGCTAACACGTTTTTCCTTATTGAACATGGGTTGTTTTATGGTTTCTATTAGTAGTCATCAATTTGTACTAAATCACTTATTCCACTGTCACAGTTCTTGGTCTTCTTTTTAACATGCCCAAACCATCTCAATCTTATTCTATATTATTGCAAATTGGTGGTACTCTTGACTTCTCAAATGCACTGTGTTCCTAATTTTATCCCTTCACTTATACCATTTAGCCATCTTAACATCTTAATCTCCCATTATGCTCATGGCCAATTATATGGCCATTTTTTACAACTCCCCTTAGTTCTAATTCCATGTTTGACATCTATAATTTCTTTTTTGTTGACAAAAGTTGGAGAGATTTTTTTTGATAGGAAACTGTAACTGTGATTAAAATTTAATGGAAGGTACACAGGCTCCAGCCCTGGAATCAGGGAACCTTAACCCCAGCAAGAACAAAATTACAACTCAGCCTAAAATAAAACTTCCCTGTTGATCCCTTGTTTGGCTAGTGTCAGCCAAACCATTTTCTGTCCTCCTCACCCACTTAAGAGACACACCAATCTTTCTTGTAAGTCTTCTAATTTCTCTCAAAGTCTGCTTGTGAATTCATATCCCCACTCTGCTTGTTTGTAACCACCCTATCACAACCTTCGAGTCACCCTCCACTTCCACATTTTGAAGGCTCAACTGCTTTGCCAATCTCAGTCCCTGAACAAGTGCTAAAATTTCAGCTCTTAGAGAGCCACCCACCCCTACAGGCCTAGAGAATAATGCCACTACCTTTCCTTCCCTATCTCTTATCACTCCACCTATGCATGAGGGACCTAGATTGCCATAAGAACTTCCATTAAAATTCATCTTAAAATTATGACTTATTGGTGGGGCCCAACTCCCATGAACCAAAGCCTTCAGGGAAGAAGAGTCCACAACTGCCTGCCAACTTCTCATAGTATCATCAAAGGAAAAGTTCTTGAACATGTCTGATGTTTTTAATCAATGTTTAACCTTAAAAGTGATCCTCTATTAGCTCTTCCTTTGATTTTGCCTTGAAAGAGTCAGTTATTTCTCTCTTCCCAAAGTTCCCAATCTACTTGCCCTTGTATCTCTCTAAATTGTCTTCCCTCTTTTCTTTGGCTGCCTCATGAAATTCATCTCAAAATACCTGCAACACAAGAAGGGGGTGTCCTCTTACAACCGAAGCGAGAAGCAAACCACATCCAAATGCAAGAAGAAGCAAATGAACATGAGATTAATAAGTGGGAAGTAGTTACCACAGTCAAAATAGAGGAAACAAATATTAGGGGAGAGACACCGATTTGGCCTCCTTTTTTGTAGCAAGTCACAAGTGTTTATCTTATTGAGAACCGCTTCCATCAAAAGGTCCTCACTCTTGGAGGTACTGGGCTACACCAAACCTCTTTAGCTGGAAAAGACATTGGTTGAGTTGAGAATGAAAGAGGGCATCAAAGGAGGAACACGAGAAGAACGCTGAAGGAGAGTTAGACCACACACAACTATTTAACAAGGAGGGATCGAAAAAAACATTACTCAAGACAGAAAGCAACTCATCAAGAGCCCCCATTAATTGATCTCGCCCCACCAGCATCATTGTACATGTCCACCTTCAACTTCAAGTATCCTTGCTTAGTGAATAAAATGCCTCTTCCAAGGTGCTTCTTCAAGTAATCACCAACTTTGCATTGACAAGATGTTGGGAGCATGCATGTTTTGGCTAAGAACACCCACTACATATGCGATTTCAGGTCTAGTCATAGACGTGTATAACAATTTCCCCACTAATCTCTGAAACTTTTTAACAACAACAAGTACCTCTTTATCTGCCCCAAGTTTGTGATTGAACTCAATAGGAGTGTTAGGTAGTTTGGTCCTTGACTCTAGAGTATCTTGAAGAAGGTCTAAGATGTATTTCCTTTGGGAAATGAAGATTCCCTTCTTGGAGCAAGTAACTTCAATCCCAAAGAAATATTGAAGAGGGCCTAGATTCTTAACTTCAAATTTAGATGTCAAGAATTTATTAGTTTTTTTTCTTTTTTTCTTTTTGAGAAAGTGTAAAGTATTTTGTTATAAGTGTTAAGCATATGTAATATAACATTGCTTGACTAGATACTAAGTGAAGGACTTGTACATCCTTTGTATGTTCCAGATACAAAAAGTATACTATAATCAAAAAATAAATTGTATGGTATATCCTTGAAACATCGTTGAGAAGTAGACCAAGAAACTACTCTACCCCAAGAATTGCTTCAATTTCACCACTCTTGACTCCTAATTTCCAGTAATGACTATATCATTCACATACACAATTAGGGTGACAATCTTGTCCTGACTTCTCTTGACAAATAGTGTTTGATTTGTCTAACACTGTCTAAGTCTCACATGTTGTTACCTTTTTGAACTTGCTAAACCATACCTTAGGTGATTGTTTCAATCCATACAAGGACCTTTTCAACCAACATATTTTCTGCTCACAGCCCTTGACATGAAAGCTTGAGGGTTGGATGTTGTGCACCTTTTTCTCAAAATCCCATTAAGGAATGCTTTGTTAATACCAAGTTGATGGAGATTCTACTCCAAGTTAGTAGCTAGCGATAGGACTCCTATAGAGTGTCAGTTCCAGTTGAAGAAGAGAAGAGACAAGAGAGTCACATGAAAATGGATGGGTGTGTCCTGTGTTCACACGCCCAGAAAAAGTTGTCCTTACAAGAGTAAAATATGTAATGTACAAAGAGATATACAAAAGAGCCAAATAAAAGAAAGTAAAATTACAAAGTTACCCCTCATCCTCTCTACATAGAGTTCATCTTAGCAACTGGGTCAAAGTTCTCAGTATAATCAACCATTACATCTGAGAAACCTTTTTCAACTAACCTTGTTTTGTATCTCTCCACAGATCCATCTGCCCTATGCTTCACTGAGAACACCTGCACCCTATGGCTCTTTCTCTTTAGGAAGATCAACTAGGTCCAACATATTCTTGTGTAGGGCACTTATTTCCTCCATAGCATCTATCCACTCAGGTAGAGCCAGGGCTTTTGTGATATTTTTTGGGATAGAAACACAGCTGATATGGCAAATAAGCAAGTATGACAGGAAGGGGATAAGGATAAACAAAAGGTGAAATGAACAATAGACATTTAATGGTACATGATTTAACACCTTTACACACAACAATGGGGGTATTAAGATATATATAAGCAATAGAACTAGAGATACCTTATTTCAATGTGTTGACAAGCCAACATATAATATATCGCTTTTTAGTTATTGGGGGAACCTGGTGCCTCCTAGAGTAGAGGCTTTTTCTTGGCTGGTAGTCTTGGGCAAGATCCTAACTTCCAACACTTGAAGAACATGGGCTTCAGCCTGGAAAGCTATTGCTATCTGTGTTGCTTAGAAGAGGAATCAGTTCACCTTTTTACTCTTGTAAGATTTCAAAACTTACTGTGGAATTATAAAGAAGATAGACTAATTGGAGACCATGGAGTGGAAGTATAAAGATGTAACAACTCATAGGAAGTTTGTGGAGAGGAGCAGGATCTTTGAGTTTCTAGTAGGGCTAAATTAGGAGTACGACATTACTAGACAACATATACTCACACATAGTGACTTGACTCTCTCCTAGGTCTACTCCTTGGTGTATATTGAGGAGAGTAGGAGGAGAGTTATGCTTTAGGCACCTACCATTGACTATTCGACACTAACTATACCCAGAGCTAAGGTTCCACAAGATAAAGTTGGTAGTTCTGAAGGAAAAGAGGACAACTTTGTGATTATTATAAGAGTAAGATAATGGATTTGGGGCTCATGGTCTCACTCTGAAGGTCCAAGGAAGATGGCCATGGGAGCGTGTTGGTAAGGCACCTAAGTTGGGCAATAACCCAACAATTTGCCGTCAAATTTACCTCCACCGACTTTGCCCATGGTACGTAGTTGGTACCATTAAGTTTAACCGAAGTCATTTGTACAGCCATGAAATCAGGTTGTACCATCACACTTGTTTTGTATTCACTGCCAGAGGTAGCCACCGGTTACTTCTGCAACACTCTCCCAAGACGAACACCTTCCCGACTCAACAACAGCATTCAACTGACTTAACTATTGTTTTTGAAACTTCAACAGCATAGCCGCAACCCCTAAACCTGGAACATCAGCATAAAAACTTCTACAAGCCAACCAACCTCCTGATTCCTAGAAAATAACCCACCAAACACATCAACCACAACCAACGATCATCCGAACTTCACATTCACAGTCCCTCTTCGAACTGCCGAGAGTCTAAACCACCATCAAACAGTTGATCAACAGTGCAGCTTGAGGCATAGAAGCCTCTTAACCTTCTGGATGATCAGTCCTTTTAGGGTCTTCCCCTTCCTCTCTTCTCGTATTGGTATAAAAACTCAGCCGAACCAGTTACAGGCGTCCTTCACTGATGCAGTCAGGAAACTTGATCAACCAGGCTCTGATACCATGTTATCAGGCTTGTATTTAATTAAATAAATAAAAAAGAAGCTTCTGATATGAGCCTAGACGGGGAAGAGATGGAGAAGAAGAAGAGAAGAAGAAGTTGAACAGAATAGGGCTTCACAGTCTCAATCGAAAGAGAGAACTGCCGCCCAGTATGTTTAATTCATAATAAAAGGTAAAATTACAATACTACCCCTGTATACAAATGCTTGAGAATAGAGACAAAAAAACACTGATTTAAAGAAGAGAAAAGATTAAAATAACCCTAGAACAAAGCT